GCAAGAGGTCAAAGGTTAGAACATCTTGGCCTACTGTTCCTACCCCATCCCTCCTGCTGAGGCCCAAAATGTAACCTGTCTATAGGAAAGGAGCTTGAATTCCAGGTCCCCCTTTCTTGTATTCCATGTGAGCCATGGGCAGTCTCCATTCCACTGTTTTATTATTTACAAACGCTACAGAATGAGAACAGACACGCTGCGGATAAGAGGGATCCAGTGGGAGAAGTTCACAGAAAGATAGTGCACCAGGGCCATGAGAGCAGCACACAGGCCATATCTATGGGACAGGCAGGACAAGAAGGGGTTAAAAAATGAGATCCAAGCCAGCCAGATCGCAGGGAGGTGCTGGGGGTGCAATTCCCCTCCTGGTCTCCCCCCAAGTTCACAGTGCATGCAATAAAATATATGTACAGGAGCTGGATCCTTCCCCTGTGGGGACGCCAAGGTTACAGAGCTCCCTTGAGGAGGAGCGAAACCAGTGGCTCCCCCTGGCGGCCAGGCCAGGGTGAAGCCACATGCGTCAGGAGCTAGGTCAGTCCCAGCCGTTGTCTTTGATCATGTGGTTGAGTTCAATGATGTACTTCCCCTCTTTGTATTTCTGGCTGCTCTCAAAGGCTTGCTCCTGAAAAGGAGAGAAAGGGCTGCCGTCCATGGACAAGACTTTTACCGCTAGGCAATGGGGCTGGAAAATGGATGTGATTGATCTTGTTTTATGTATGAAAAAACTGTGGCCCAGAGAAGCCCAGCTACCTGCCCACAAACACAGAACCGGCAGGGCCGTTTTTCACCGGGACTGGAACGTGGAGTCGTGGGTACCTTTAGAACATTAATGACAGCTCCAACAGGGAGGACATGGAAGTCCCTATCAGACTTCATTTCACAGTCCAGGGATAGCAAACTGGTGGCTGGAGGGCCATTTCAGCCTATAGATAGTGTTGTTTAGATAGCAGATCGCCTAATATAAATAACTTTAGGGGTTGGAGATGATTAGCATGTGGGAGGGCCTGGATTTATTACAAGCACCACATTAAAAAAAAAACACAATAAAACTTACATACCAAACTAAATATACATGCTCACTCCATTTTGCCCCAGCCTGCTTTTCCTGCCCTAAATCTATGCTACCCATTTACAAATCCACAATATCTGCTTGGCTTTCCAGACATTTGAGGGTTTTTATTGTTTTTTGAGACAGGGTCTATGTAGCCCTAGCTGTCTTGGAACTGTGTATTCTAGGTGGGCTTAGAACTCAAGCTTCTGCCTCTGCTTCCTGAGTGCTGGGATTAAAGGTATGTAACACCACATCCTGCTGACATTTGAATTTGGTTTTTTGTTTTTCAAGACAGAGTTTCTCAGGGCAGCCCTGGAACTCAGTCGGTAGACTAGGCTGGCCTTGAATTTATAGAGGTCCGCCTGCCTTTGTCTCCTGAGTTCTGGGATTAAAGGCACGTGCCACTACTGCCTCGCTGACATTTGAGTTTTTAACTTCTGGCCTAGGGCACATTTTAGGAACTTCAGAGGGGCCAGGGACACACAGAAAATCTGCAGCAGGGGCCAGAGGTAAAGTCAGGTTAGGACTATCTGTCTCTGACTGGGGCCTCCAGCTCACAAGAACCACTCCAAGTAATGCTTTGCCCAACCCAATTCCTTGTACACTCCCAAAAGCACCCCCTTTGTAACATCTAATCTGGTATTCATAAAGATCTTCCACCCCAGCTAGTGGCTTTATGCTCCAATGCCACATAAGGAAATGAGACTTGAGGTTGTGAAATCAGATGCTAGACAGCATCAGAAGCAATGTGAGCTGTGCAGAGGAGATCTGTGGACCTAACTTCCACATCGATGCAGGGTCTTAGCTATGTAATCTGAGGCAAATGTCCTAACATCTTCAGACCCCCCCCCCCCCCCGCCTTGTCTTCTGGAATAGATTCTGCCATCAGAACCGTTGTAATGACTGAGTGAGAGACTATACACCAAGTGTGTTCATGCGCGTAGAATATAAGCATTCAATCAAAAATGCTGACTCTACTTGCTCTTCGTCTCTAGGATGGGGCACTGGTGCCTTTGAGGGAAGTGGAACATCCCCAAAGCTCTGTAGAACACAAAGGGCCAATGGCAATCACTGGGGAGAAAGTCTGTTTTGTCTGTGCTGGGCCAGGTCCTACTCTGAAAGGTGAATGCTTTCGAGGAAGAAGGGATGTGAGGTTAGGTCAAAGGCCAGTCTGGGGTCAGAGATCATGAACTCACATATTTCCAGCCCAAGGTGGTCTTGCAGTTCTCGCAGTGGATGTCAGCGACAGCATGAAGACCTGTCAGCAGCACCCGCTCCTCTGCTGGTCCGCAGCCCACGTTCACCCTGTGGGGACAACGGGTGGTCCCAGGGAGGGTCTCAGCACCCCACAGCCTCCCTCCAGCTAGTATGCTGAGTGTCTGTTTTTGGCTCTAAGAGAGGCTTGATCATGGCTTCCTGTCTGAAACAAGGGACTCTGGGAATATGGGCTGGGCATGATGCCAGGGGTCACAGGTCACAACAGAGGTCAGGAAAAGAAAGGAAGGAGGTGAATACTCACACAGAATTGAAGAGGTAGGCACGCCCCTGACTGCCCTGGAAGGACTGGAGGGTAGTGGGAAGACGAGAGGAAGGGGTTAGGGCTATTGATGGGGAGTTGCCAGGCAGCCCATTGCCATTCTAGATTCAAATGTGCCCTGCTTACCTTGGAGATGAGGTCGTCGTGGTTGGCCAGGTGAGCTCGGCAGTGGGCACAGCTATACCTCCGGTGACAATCATCCAAGTAGGCCTGAAACGTCTTGGGCTTCGAAATCCGCACCATGGCGGGGGCCAAGGGCAGTGGCCCCACGCGGGGAGCGGCCCACGGGGAGCAGAGGGAGCCCAGTGCCTGCCAAGGAAGAGAGGTGGGCTGTTAGGACCAAGGCCACACATATGTAGGCAAGCCCAAAACTATGGGGACTCTGTCACACTTGGCTGCTCTCTCCTTTCCCTAGAGCCAGCAGTCTCACCAGGGACCAGAGTCATTTCAGTTTTGACTCACTGAGGAGGCCTCAGGTTGCATCAGCGGGTAAACTGAGGCTAGGAGGAGTTCCAGGTGAGTCACCCACCTGCTTCTGGCCTCACCCCTGCTGAGCTGGCATCTGAAAAGGGAAGAAGGGGCTTCAGAGTGGATGGGCTGCCAGTTTTCAGTTTCGAGGGAGTACGGGGCGGTAAGGAACTGACTAGTCCTTGGGACCCTATCTGGACGAGGGGCAGGGCAAATGTGGGGTACGTGGAGTTCGCTTGGGGAAAGGGTCTCTCACCTGGAGGAGGCAGGAGGCCTCATCAAAGGAGGAGGGGCCCCTGGGGAGAGGAGGGGCTTTTACCTGGAGGCGCCGAGCCTCATCTGCGCCGGGGAAATTCTACCTGCCTCGCCAAGCCCTTACCTGGACCCCCGGGCCTCACCTGGGGCGGGGGGTGGGGGGGGACGCGCGCGGGGGAAGGGACAGTCCTCGCTTGCGGGGCGGGGGCGACGCGCAGCGACGTCGGCGCAGGCCTCACCTCGCCTGGGCGCGTGGAGGACCCGGTCCGCGGGGTAGCCTGGCCTGGGAGTGGGGGGCGCTCCTGATGGGCGCCGTCCCCCCCGGCCCGGATCGCAGCCGCCTCGACTTGTTTACACCGAGACCAGCTGCTGCCGCGGCTGCGGCGGGAGGGGGAGGGGGCCGGCCTCCTGTCCCGGCGGCCGCCGTGGCCAATCGGAGGGCCTCATGCAAATGAGGGGGCGCGTCATACGGCGGCCAGCGCAGGCAGGGCTGCCCTTCCCCCTGCTCCCGGCTTCAGCTTGCCTGCTCGCCCGGAAATGCGGTTGCGACTCGCAGCCTAAGCTCGGAAGCCAGTCAGTGTCCGGGCCTGATTTCGCCTATAGCTGTCCCTGGTGCTCGAACAGACAAGGATTCCAGCCCGACGTGGGGTTAGCGGCAGGTGGTGTCTGTACGCACCTCCCTCCCCGAGAAATAGTCGTAATTGTCTTCGTTAATCCTCCGGCCAGTCTGGTAATCCCTCCCACAGTCCTATAGTTTCTCCATTTGACCAGGTTCTGAGGTTTGAAGAAGAGATCCTCTCCAGAGATTATCCAGATGGTAAGAGTCAAAGTTGGAAGTCTCACTTTCCCCAAGCACGTGGAGCAGACTCTTAGAAGGAAAGGGCTAAAGGTGTCCTTTTGCTAGTAGACTCCCAGAACCAAAGCGTTAGGAGCCAGTCCCTACTGCTGAGCATCATCTATTCCAGACATCCTCTGGTATGCCTGGCCCCCAGGCTATTGTAGGCCTGACTCCAGTGGAAATGTCTGTTTAAACATGTGTCTGGCTTACATAGACTTGTGTTCATTGCAGAATCCCAGTACCCAGCAGGCCTGAAAAGTACTGCTTCAGGAATATCCTTTAGAGTTAAGACCCAGTGTGGGAGATCAGGAATTAAACAGTTGGTACAGTGGGGAGCCTGTGAGATCCCCCATGCCTTCCTGCTGACCAACAGCAGCAACGTGAGGGAAATCAAGTCCCTTGTATGCCTGGGTCTCTTAATGGCTTCAGGGAAACCACTAAATCTGTGGATCTCTAGAGTCTGGGGTCAGGACACCTGGGTTAACATGCTTCAGAGTGGAGGCCAAGCTGTCACAGGGTGTGGTGCCTCTCTGCTGGGTCTAGAATGTAGCAGAACAAGTGGGCCAGTCTAATTAGGCCCCCCAGACTTTTTTGGGGGGCGGGGGTCTCACTTTGTAGCCCTGGCATCTAACTCACAGATCCACGCGCTTCTGTCTCTCAAGTACTGAGGTAAAGATGTTCATTACCAGGCCCAGCTCATCGCAGGTTTTCTTGATCTCTTCAAAGATGTTGTGTGCCCTCCCACGCAATATGCATCAAACCCAGAGCTGCGTTCATGGTGTGCAAGCATTACACCGCTGGGTGACAGTCCCATCTTTTTAGTCTTCAAGACTGACCCTCCAACCCTTCGATCCGTGATGAGAAAATATTTATTTTTCTTAAAGAGAGAACAGGGCCTCAGATTGAGGAGGCAGGGGGCTTTGGTTCTTCCTTCTTGTCTAGGTAGTGTCTCAGGGCTGTGGGGAAATCAGTCATGACACCATTGGCCCCCAGATTGAAGGCCACTTCAAAATCCGATTCTTCATTAAGGCACCAAAATAGCACCTGAGCAGGAAAGAAGGACAGGCTTAGTTTCCAAATCTACCCAACGCTTCCTTTAACTTCCAGGAGGTGGCACCCCCTCTTCTGCACAGACTTCCCAGCAATGGTGAACTGGAGCTGATGGTAACCTTTTTAGGAGTTTTCAGACTGGTTATTAAACATAGCTATTATTGACAGACAGTGGTGGCACACACCTTTAATTCCAGCACTGGGGACACAGAGGCAGGCGGATCTCTGAGACCAGCCTGGTCTACAGAGTGAGTTCCAGGGAGCTAGGGCTACACAGAGAAACCTTGTCTCAAAAAAACAAACAAACAAACCAACCAACAAACAAAAAAAAACCAAAAAAAAAAAAACCCAAACCAAGACAAAAACCCCACAACTGTTATCAAAACTTAAATTGTATGATCTTAGAGTCAAGTGTTGCAGTGCATGCCTATAAGCCCTACACTCGGGAAGCTGAGGAAAGAGGGTGGATGACTCTGAAGCCATCTGGGCTACAGTGAGTAGCTGGCCTGCCAGAGTTATATAGCAAGATGTGCCTCAAAAATGAAAACATAAATAAGTGCATGAACTTAAGATTAAGGACAGTCTCAACACTCAGGAGGGCAGAGGCAGGTGAATCTCTGTGAGTTCCAGGCAGCCTGGTTTATACAGTAAGTTTTAGGCCAGCCAGGGTTATAGAATGACTTTGTCTCAAAACAAGTAAGAAATTCTATTAAAAACAAAGGTAAAAGCTGGGTGGTGGTGGTTGCACGACTTTATTCCCAATGCTTGGGAGGCAGAAGAGGCCGATCTCTGTGAGTTCAAGGCCAGCCAGGACTGTTAAACAGAGAAATCCTTCCTTGAAAAACAAAACAGAAGATGAAATCCGGGTGCAGTGGTGGGTGCTTGTTTCTTTTTATGGCACTAAGAAGCAAGAGACAGGGGCTGGAGAGATGGCTCAGTGGTTAAGAGAATTGCCTGCTCTTCCAAAGGTCCTGAGTTCAATTCCCAGCAACCACATGGTGGCTCACAACCATCTGTAATGAGGTCTGGTGCCCTCTTCTGGTCTTCAGGCATACACACAGACAGATTATTGTATACATAAATAAATAAATATTTTGAAAAAAAAAAGAAGCAAGAGACAGGAGGAAAAGGAGTTCAAGGACACCTTCTGCTATATAGGGAGTTCAAGGGCCAGCCTGGGCTATATGAGACCTGTCACAAACAAACAACCCAAGAGCTGGGGATGTTGCTCGATGGTGTAACACTGGCCTGGCATGTGCAAAGCCCTGGATTTGATCCCCAGTACTGGAAAACAAAACAAACAAAAAACACAACCCAGGGCCAGTGAAGTGACTCAGCGGCAGCAAAGGCACCCAAGGACCTGAGATTTATCTCCAGCATCCACATGGTGGAAGGAAAAGCCCTGTAACTTACTCTCTGACCTCTGCTGTGCACTGTGGAATGTTGGGATGTGCCCCCCACCCCATGTACACACAACACACACACACACACCACACAACACACACACACAAATGTAATATATCTTTTTAAAGTTAACTACTCAACAGCCCATCACTAATTATTTTACAGTTTCCTAGGTCTGTTCTGTCTGTTAGGGTCTCTTGTAACCAAGCTGGCCTCAAACTCTACATAGCTGGTAGTGACCTTGAACTTCTGTCATTCTTCTTCCATGTCCCAAGTGCTCAGGTTATACCTGTTGTTTTGTTTCTGTTTTCTTTTTGTTTTTGTTTTTTTATGATTTATTTGTATTTAAATTTTTAAAAAGGTTTACTTATTTATTTTACAGGTGTGAGTGTTATGTCTGTGTACCAACAGAGGCCAGAAGAGGGCGTCTGATCCCCGGGAGCTGGAGTTACAGTGATTGTGAGCCACTGATTATGGGAGCTGGGAGTCAGACTTGGGTGCGCTAGAAGAGCAGCCAGCGTTCTCAGCCGATGAGCCATGACATTGTGTTACCTGGTGCTGGCGACTGAACCCAGGCTTTGGGGCTGCAAGGCAAGCGCCCTCCAGCTGAGCCACATCCCCAGCCACTGGGTTTTAATTTTTAAACATTTGATTATGTTTGTTTATGTGGGGGCGGGTGCACAGCACCCCGGGTGTGTGGGTCAGAGGACAGCTCGTAGGAGTTATGGGTCAAACCCAGGTCATCAGGTTTGAAAGCAGAAGCCTTTAGCCCCTGAGCCATTGGACTGCCCTCCTGGTTCGTCTTTGTTTTGTTTTTGTTTTTTTTTCCTGTTTTTTTTTTTTTTTTCTTTCTTCTATCTCTCCAGCCATGTATTTTGTCCTTTTGAGGCAGGGAGTGCTATTTAGCCCAACCTGATCTAAAACTCACCATCCTCCTGCCTCAGTTTCCCATGGATTAGGTGTGTGAGCCAGGGCACCCGGATGACATGGGATTCCAGGAGCTCACTGGATCTCTGCTGTCTGGGTTTCACAATGAGGGTGGAGGTCAGCGGTGATCGGTGAGCGAGGGCTGGTAAGGAAGAGCTGTTCTCTAGACCCTCACTGACACCAGCACAGGCAGGAGCCAAGCTTGACCTCTCTTGCTGTTGTCACCCAAGGTTGACTCCTGTCCATGATGACACTTTCCCCACCATCATACGGTCGCCATGTTGTAGAGCAAGCGAGTCCACTCTGAACTATCTAGATTGGGTTTCCTGCACCAACCTTCAAAAGCTTTCCGTCCTGGGTGCTGAGGCTCACAGTCCTGTTAGATGTGAGGCCATGGGCCTAACTGACCTCTGCTGCCCTTAGTCTAGGGAACCCACCCAGTTCCTCTGAGCCCAGACTTTTGCTCCTCCAAGCTTTAGCTCTGGAGATGCCTGCCTGTGATGTCCTTCTCCTCAAGAGCTGTCTTCCCCTGCCCTTCTTCTGACTGATCTCACCTCCGTCTGCCCATGACCCATAGTACTGACTCCTGTCCTTAGCTGTGATATCACATCCCGCATGGGGTTGTCGGTCTTCATTTCTTTCCCCCCACATTTGGTAGAAAGCTCTCATCGCAGGTAAATGTGTGGAACCATCTCAATGAGACTTGCTGATTTAATGTCCAAAGTCAGGCACAGTAACTGCCTGTAACTCCACCATTAGTGAGGTAGGGGCAGGACGATTGCCATGAGTTTGAGGCCAGCCTGGCCTACATAAAAAACAAAACAAAACAAACAAACAACAAAAAAAAAAAACAGGGGCTAGAGAGATGGCTCAGTGATTTAGAGTACTAATTGCTCTTCCAGAGGACCTTGCTTGGATTCCCAGCACCCACATGGTGGCTCACAGCCATTTGTAACTACATTTCCAGGGGATCTGATGTCCTCTTCTCACTTCTTTGGGTACCAGGCACACATGTGGTACCCAAAACACCCATTCACACAAAATAAGACAATAAAAAAATGAAAACAAAACCATGACCAGGCATAGTGACACATGCCTTTAATCCCAGCACTCGAGACAGAGACAGGTAGATCTCTGTGAGTCAGAGGACAGCTTGGTTTACAGAGGAGGAGTTATATGGTGACACCCTGCCTCAAAACAAAACAACAACAAAAAGGAGGCCAGTGAAATAGTTCAGCAGTTAAAAGCACTTGCTGCCCTTCCCGAGGGGATAGATTTGATTCCAGTATCTGCATGGCAGCTGAAAACTATCTGTAACTACGGCTTCAAGGGAGCTGACACCATCTTTTGGCCTCAGCGCCAGGTCAGATATATATAAGCAAGATACTTATTACACATAAAAAACTAAAACAAAAAACCCCACCAAAACCCAAACCAAAATGCCTTCACTATTCCATAGACCACTGATCAAGGCAGAGCAACAGGGTGGGCTAGGCCTGGTTTCCCAGCACCTATCCAGCAGGCCCTAAGTTATCAATCCCTGATTAATCCCAGGTGCACATTCAAAAGAGCTACAGATACCATTCTCTGCATTCAAACGGACTCAAGACAAGGTTTCTCTGTGTTTCTCAAGTTTCCTCGCTGTTCTGGAACTTGCTCTGTAGACTAGGCTGGCCTCGAACTCAGAGATTTACCTGCCTCTGCCTCCCAAGTGCTAGATTAATGCACCACCACTGCCTGTCTCATTCTCTGCATTTTATAATCAAAGAAACTGAGGCTCAGGGGTGAGATCCTGCCCAAATGCTCCACCTCCAATTGCAGTATAATGGAGGTCGTGCTCCCAGGTATATGCCGGGAACCAGCTCCTTGCTGGGCTAGTGTTGGCGTCCTCACCTGCACCCCTCGGTCCTGCAAGTGCTGAATCAGACTCTTCCTCATGATGATCCTTGGGGAAGGATGGGGATGGCAAAGGCAACGATGAGAGGGGACAAAGGACAGCAGCAGGTCCCTGCGTGACCCCTCCACCCGGCAGCCCTGCCCACCTCACCATTTTGTAACCGCAGCTGACAGTTGGTTCATCCATCCACAGGAAAACGGGAAGTAAGTCCTGTGGAGAGAACTGGTGAGGTCAGCTCCTCGGTGTTGTCCGTGCCCCCCACCCCCGTCACAGGGGTGTGGTGGTAATAACTCCTTGACCAGTGCACCCCTGGCCTAGCCTGAAGAAACTATGAAGCTGCCTGGAGGAATCCTTCATCCCTCAGTGAGAGCCTGCTGTGTCCTGGAGTCGTTGGTTTAAGAGCTTGTCCCTCTTCCTGTCTTCAGCACAGGGAACTGAGTCTTAGACAGTGGGACATGCTGGGGGTCAGAAGCGCATCAGCGATGGGCCTGGAACCAGCTTGGTTCCAGGACGTCATGGGGTCCTTCTGGTTGAGTCTGTGTGGGTTTTTAAGAGTAGCGAGGCTGGCCTGGAACTTGCAACCCTCTGGCCTTGGCCTCACGAGTGCTGGGATTCCAGGTGTTTGACGCAGCGCCCAAACATGGACAGCTGTTTCAGATGAGATGCTTCTCGTCACGGCTTGTCTTCCTCCCTGGGTGATTTTAGAGCATGTCCTAGGTCAGGCTCTGGAGTATTTCAAGCTGTGTGACCCTGGGCAAGCTGTACACTATGTCTCAGCATAGCTGACACTAACGGGGCTGTTGTGACTCTCCCCTCCTGGGACAGGGTACTATAAGGTAAAGGTCAAATACTCCCCCAGTCTGTGAAAACCTTTAACTCTGTGTAAAACGCTGCCAGTGCAATGCTTTGGAAGGGGCTGTGGGGCTAGCTAGCTTTCTTGAGAAACACATAGCGGAACCAGAGCTTTGGGGACAATCCTGGAGAAGTTGTCAGAAAGGCCAAGGATGAGGCAGGCCCCCTCCCACCTCACTAAGGAAGTATCTAGTTCCTAATACTTCCTCTATGTTACTTTGTTAACAGTGCTGCTGTAGAGTGGACTGACTCACCTTTAGAGAAGGAGAAAGCCAGGCTGTAAGCCCAGAGGGCCTGACCCAGGCACATCAGTTTTATTTCCTAAACTGGCCTGCCCACATTATCATGTACTACTACAACTACATTGACCAGAGACGTTTTCCATCAGCGTATTGAGTGAATTTCTTCTAAAACTGCATACTGATAACACACTTGTCTGCAAGTCGGGGGGGGGGGTGTGTGTGTCACAGACCCCCTAGTGTTCATGAATGCCAGGCAAGAACTACAGTGTACAGGCCCATAATCCCAGCACTAGGGAGGCTGAAGCAGGAGGATTGAGAATTTGAGGCCAGCCTGGACTACATAGTGAGACCCTTGTTTCAAAAAAACAAGATCAGCCTTTCTCAATGGTTTAGTGTGGTGGTTTTCAACCTTCCTGGTACTGTGCCCCTTTAAAACAGTTCCTCATGTTGTGGTGACCCCAACCGTAAAATTAGTTTCATTGCTACTTCGTAACTACAGTTTTGCTACTGTTATAAATCATAATGTAGATATCTGTGTTTTCTGATGGTTTTAGGCTACCCCTGTGAAAGGGTCATTTATTCCCCATAGGGGTCTCAACCCACAGGTTGAGAATCACTGGCTTAGTGAATAAAGTCTCTTGCCATGAAAGCCTAGCAACCTGAGTCCAATCCCCGGAACCTACACAAAGGCGGAAAGAGGGTTGTCTCTGGCCTCCATATGCACATCATGGCATGCACACGCACACCCCATAACAAATTCAAACAAACAAACAAACAAACCGAGATGTGACTCAGTTGGTAGATTTGTTCCCCCAGCACACACAAAACCTTGGGTTCACCAGGTGGTGGTGGCGCACGCCTTTAATCCCAGCACTCGGGGGGCAGAGGCAGATGAATCTCTGTGAGTTTGACGCCAGCCTGGTCTACAGAGCTAGTTCCAGGACAGGCTCTAAAGCTACAGAGGAACCCTGTCTTGAAAAACAAAACAAAACAAAACAAAACAAAAAGCCTTGGGTTCAGTGTCTAGCCCTGGCTAGAGCCAGGTGTGGTGGTGGTATATGACTATAGCTGCAGCTCTAGTGATGTGGAGGCAGGAGGATTAAAAATTCAGTGCCTTCCTCAGCTACTTAGTTCCAGGCCAACTTAACTCTGTCTCAATAAAACAAAACACTGCCCTCCCTAAGGGGCCTTGGGGCTGGAGAGGTGGTTCAGTAGTCAAGAGCGCTTGCTGTTCGTTCAGAGGACCTGAGTTTGGCTCTAAGCACTCATGTGCTGTTCACAACCACCTGTAACTCCAGTTCTGGGGATCTGACACCCTCTTCTGGCCTCTGTAGGTCACTGCACACATGAGGTGGGCACATGTACACACACACACGTGTGCACACACACATACACACAATTTAAAGACTCTTGGGGACTCTTATGAAACTTGGGATCCTGGGTCCTGGGCAGTGTGGCCTGAGCAGGGTGTTTACAAGCCCCGTCTCCCCCCTGGTACCTGTTGATGATGGTGGGCAGGAAGCATAAGAAAAACTTCTCAGGAATGGAGACAAAAGGCAGCAGCCCAAGGTAGTAGAGCAGCAGTATCCAGATTGATCGCAATATGGTGAAGGCCGTTGGCATGTCGGGGTTCTGGGTGGCAAGGAGAGAAGTGAGAAGTGGGGACAGCAGAGTTGGCATGGGCCGAGGGGACCAGGGCTGGACATCAAAGTCACACCTTGAACAGTGTAATGGTTAATTCTGTTAACTTGATTAAAAAGTAGTACCTTAGAGTTTGGTGAAACACACCTGTGGGGTGTCTGAGGATGTTTCCACAGAATTAGCTAGGGGAGGGAGGAACCCTACCCTGAATGTGGGCAGCGCCATCTCTGTAGGCTAGGAGTCTGGATGAAACAAAAGGAGATAAAGGAAGACACCAGACCAGGCACTCTCTTCGCTCCTCAGCAGTCATTAGCGAGTGACTGTTTCTCATGCCCTCTCTACCTCTAGCAATTGGGCCAAAGTGACTATGGGTTAAAATCTCTGAAACTGTGAGCCATGAGATGTTTCCTGAAGTTCTGATACGGTAACAGCTGACCAGCACAGCCAGGGTTTCCCGAGGTTCTGTTACAGTAACAACCAACCAGTACAGCCAGTAGTTCCTGAGGTTCTGTTACAGTAACAGCTGACCAGCACAGCCAGTGTTTCCTGAAGTTCTGTTATGGTACCAGCACAGCCAGTACTGGGTTCCCTAGAACTAGCTGCATGGCACCAGTGCACAGTCACGTTGTCCTGCTTCTCCAAATCCTACCCTTGGGGACTGTGCTCAAAGCTAGTTCCAGGGGCCATGCTGGGCCCTTCTAGCGTAGGCTCCTTGGACTGGGTGGCTTCTATCCCGGTAGCAGAGAAAGAGGGACTCACGGCAGCCTTGCACTTCCTCATGACTGAGTTCTTCTCTGAAGCCCAAATAGTAATCTCATTGCGGTCAAAGCTCCTAGCCAGGTTGGCTACCTAGGATGGGAACACAGGGAGTAAGGGAGGCCAGGCCTCTCTTGGACCTGCCTTCACCTGCCTGGCCTTAGTACCACCTTGTGAATGAGCTCTTCATTTTTTTCTTTGATCTCCACAATCACGGGAATCCTTGGAAATTTCTGGAATATATCCTCCAACTGTATCATGTGCCGATCCGACCCATGGGCAAAATGACCTGGGAGTTGGGTCACAAAAACTGGGGTCAGAGAAAGATAGATGAACTTGGGGGGGGGTAGGGAGAGGATATGAGAGGTGGCTAAGCAGTGCGAGGCTGGATGTCCACACCGTACCTGGTGAGAAATAAATCTCCAGTTCTGTCTTGTAGAGTGGCAATTCCTGTGGAGGGTGGAGGCATGACATTAGGACGCATGTGCACAAATGTCAACTCTCAGCATGAGGGGCTGCAGAGCTCACCTGGAAGTCCAGGCTGTTCACATCCTTATTTAGGCCTGACTGGCGGGACAGGTTCTTGTCGTGTGATACTACCACCACGCCATCCCGTGTGAGTTGGCAGTCAAGTTCCAAGATATCTGCTCGCTGGGCCATGGAACTATGGGAGCAAAGGTTGGTGGGGGAAGGGGACAAGGGATGGACCAGGGCATGTAGTGGAGGGGAGATACTGGGACAGAATTTATGGTGGGACATATGACCCCACCTGTACAATTCCAGCGGCTTCAAGACACCCAAATTAGGAAGTGGATAAATAGCACCCTTGGTTGCCTTGCAGCGCTCACCCCACAACCTTCCGTGTCGGACTTACTTCTCTATAGCCTCCATGGTGTTCTCTAGCCGCTCTCCGGACCCTGTGTGAAGCAGTTTGGGTGGGTCCCTAGGGCCTGGCCTGACCTTCTTACCTTTCTTTCTTCCTGATGGTTTCCTACTTGCTTCTTCTTTTCCCATCAGCCACGCTGAACTGGCTCTCCTTCCCTGCTCTGTGCCTCCCAGACCCCCGTGGCTCTCCTCACCTCTGTCTTTCACGCCTTGCACCTCCGCTATGTGCTGCCCACTGTGGCACCTGTCGTCTTAGGCTCACATCGCCCCAAGTGGCTGCCAAGGCCTCCCGCCTCCCTGACTCAGCTCACCTCCACGGTGGGCAGCCAGGCGGATAGGGAAGGTGGGAGCCCAGGTTGTGTGCAGCAGATGAGGTCGGCGCAAGAAGAAGAAGGAGAGCATGATATAGCTGCCCAGGACGGGCAGAGCAAAGTACAGGATGGAGAGCATAGCCTCACTCCCACCGCAGGCGCCTGCCACAGCGCAGCCTTCCCAGTCCCAGAAGGCTCTGTTGGCTGCTGCTGCCTGCTGCTGAGTCTGCCCGCTGAGCTGGTGTAGGCTGGCTCTACTATTGGGCAGCACCACGCCCCAGGACCTGCTGAGCCTGCTGCTATGCCCTGGCACTTGGCCAGACTGCAGTATGCCCTAGGGCTGGGGCAGGCACAGGAATCCAGGCAGCCCTGGGCTTCATGTCCACAGACCTTGCATAGATCCCAGCACCCCCTTCTGTCCTTGACTGTGTGTATGTGTGGAGGGAGGGGGTGAGCAACTCCCCTCACCATTTTTTAGAACTTCCTGTTTCCCATGAGTGCTTGTGGCCAGGACCTGTAACTACCTTTGCCACTTCCCAGGAATGTTGGGGTGTAGGGTGCCCCTGAGTCACAACAAATCACCCCAGCCAGTTAAACAGGAAGCTGTTTGGGAACATAGTGACTGAAAGAAAACTGACCCCTTTCCAGAAGTCTGGAGCGCCTTATAACCCATCCTCACCCCTGGCAAGCTGAGCCAAAGACCACAGGGCCATGTGAGGCCACAGCTGCACACAGGGGTCAGTCGTGAAAGCAGCACGCTGGGGGTCGCATTGGCACACAGAGACGGAGGCAGGGTCATCCATATACACATCTCTATATTTATATATTAGATACAGGCACGGGGAGGTGGGGAGGGGCACCGGCTCTCCACGGGCCCCACCTCCACTTCCAATAACCCACACACAGAAGCAGCAAGGGCGTTACAAGTGGCAGCTTTGAGAGGGAGAGGGTTTGGCCTGGCCTGGCTCCTCAGGGAAACTAGCCCTTGAGACTTAGGAATGTTCCTTCGGGGAAAACAGGGTGGGGTTCCAACAAGTTGAGTAGGGCAGAGCTTAGCCTGGGTCCCTACTCAGTGTCCTCCACCCCTCCATAGCACAGGTCCTAGGGCAGTCATAGCCCTTCCGCTCCAGAATGGTCTGCCAGAGCCAGGGCTAGCAGGGGTAGATAAAGGCAGAGCAGCGGAGATCAGCTCTGGGGCCACCTCACCACTTAGGCCCCAGGGAGATGGGGCAGGGGGTTGGGGTGAGGGGTAAGGGGAGCCTGCCTGAAGCAGGAGATCCCAGCAGAGTGGAAGAAGATGGCCAGGCCCACCCTCGGTCCAGCCTGGGCTGCCAGGGTCCGGGTTGAGCAAAGTTCATTACTAACGATCTGCAGAGAAGGACCAGGTAGGAGCAGGACCTGAAGGAAGAAGAAGAGCAAAGTGAGCTGAGAAGACCCCACTGAGCCCCTGACGCCAGTGCCTTTGATCCGCCTGTGGGTCTTGGCTCCCTCCTCGGCAGCACCAGCAGCCACCACCAAGTGCTACTGTGAATGTAGCCTCCTCTCAAAGCCATTATGGTACACCCTGTCCCTAAGGTCTGGGGTGGCTCCTCAGAGCGGGAGGACCCCTCACCTCTGTGGGTCTCCAGAGGATGCTGATGACAGCAGGAGACAGACGGGGCCCGAGGAGTGGTTTACAAAGGACCAGATGGGCCACACACGTGGATGAGGCACCCAGGCTGGGCAGCCAAGGGCATTGTGAGCCACTCACCAGGTCCCAGGGGACAGGGATGTCTGTTTTGTTAGGGGGCCTCTGAGGCCCCTGGCTGGAAGCGGGCTGTCTCTTGGAAGATCAGTTCCTTCAGCCGCTCCTTGGGGAGATCATCCAGCTCCATGTCAAAGGTGAAGGGCTCCTCAGCCACTGGCTAGGGGGCAAAGACAGTAAGGCACAGGCCAGCACGGGGGATACTAATGCCCCTCCCAGCCCCTGGTGGCCAGCCCACCTCATCTGTTGGGTCATAGTACTGTTCCAGGTACGGATGAGCCAGTGCTTCTTCTACAGTGATGCGCTTGTTGGGGTTGAAGGTTAACATCCGGTCCAGTAGGTCAAGTGCTAAGGCAAGGCAGGAGTAGCAGTCATGAAAAAAAGCTGAAGGAACTCCCATAGGCAGCACCTGTCCAGTGCCCAGGGGCCTATTTACTGAGGCAGGCATCAGGATAATACACCTTTCTTGGCCGCTGGGTTCTCGCCTACCCCCAGTCCTTTGTCTCACCTTTGGAGTCAGATTTGGGGAAAAGCTTGGCCCAGGCCACCTTAGTTTTCGAGGGCAGAGACTGTAGATAGTTTCGGGCCTTCATGTTGATGATACAATTAAGGTCCTCCTGGGATGGGGAGCCCAAGATACCTGTGGACAAACCAGTTGTTTTGCTAAGATGTCAAGTCCTCTTTCTGGGAACAGGTCAGGAAGCAAGGACAGGAACCCAAGCTCAGCCACCTGCAGCCACCTCCTCATCAACCCACTGGGGCAGTGACGAAAGCAAGGAGCTGACGACCAGGGAGTGCTGGGCTCAAATCCTGACTGCAGTCTTCCTTAGGTGTAGGCCTTAGCCTTGCTTTTCCCATCTTTCAAATGGAAAAGAACACCTTACAGAAATACCATGAGATGCTGGGGAGGCTCTACATGTGGTACCCCAATTGTCACCCTCCAGAAACATCACCTCTGATAACTCCCATCCCTGTGAGCCGGTCAGGTCGTCTTACCTAGAATGTGGTTGAGCTGGTCCAGGTAGTGCTTGCCAGGGAAGATGGGCCGGTTGGAGAGCATCTCAGCCAGAATGCAGCCCACAGACCAGATGTCAATGGATTTGGTGTAGCCCTGGGGAGGAGAATATGCTCAACTCCTCAGTCAGCCTTATCAGTGCCTTATTGGCATTTGGGCCAAGCACTACAACCAACTTAGATCCAACAGCAAGCATAGGGCAGAGAACAGAGGCTAGGAAATTTCTAATCTCCAATCTCTACATTTTGCCAGAGCCCAAGGGCCAAAGGGATTATGCCAAGACCCAGAGAAAGATCTAGGACTTTCTTGTAAAAGTGGGCTGCTCTCCTACCTTGGAGTTAAGCATGATCTCTGGGGCTCGGTACCAGCGTGTGGCCACATACTCTGTCAGGAAGCCAGTGTGGTCATGCTCAGGGTCAGCAATCCGGGCCAAGCCAAAATCACAGATCTGGAATCAAACCCAGGCCACCGAGTTAGGTGCCTAAGGCCTCCGCAGCCCAGGAAGTGCCCCTGCTCTGCCTATGCTGTTCTTGCTTGCCATGCACCAAGGATGCTTCTACTGGTCGTGCCCCACGCCCAGGGAAGAAGAGGCAGGCATTCAACCTCTGACCTTAAGGTCGCAGGTGGTGTTGATAAGCAGGTTGGAGGGCTTCAGATCCCGGTGGAGCACATTGGCTGAGTGTATATACTTGAGGCCCCGAAGGATCTGATAGAGGAAGTAGCAGATGTGGTCGTTGCTTAGCTGCTGGCTCTTTAGCAGCTTATACAGGTCTGTCTCCATGAGGTCCTGAACAATGTAACTGAGGAGGATTCCAGAGACCCCCCCCAGGTTGGGGGCAGTAGGAGACTTTGTTAAGGAAAACAGATTCTGACCAGAAGGTCACATACTCCTTCCAGCTAGGGCCCCTTGGCCTCATGAGCGTTACAAAGCAAAGCCTGGAGCTGAGGGTATGCAGGGCATATCTATTCTGGGCCCCCGGTCTCCCTATGGGGCAAATGAGGGTACTGATAAATTGGAGTGGGAGAACTTCAGAGCCACAGCAGTTCTGAGTTAACCCACTCATGTCTGATGTGCCCATTCTACCTGTCCATGCCTCAGTTTCCTCATCTGACAAGCAGGGAGAGTAACTGTTCCTTAGAGGCGGCTGTGAGGATAAAGATGTCCCACGGAGATGCTCAGCAAACAAAAAATGCTGTGACTCCATGGGCTGAGCCATGTGGTGGCTGAGTGGGTTAAATGAGATAATGCATGAACGCCATCTGGCACACACAGTAACTGTTTGCTTTAAAATAAATGCCTGCCTTATGGGAATGATTTGTGCCAGAAAAGTGAGGAGACACTCCCAACCATGCTCCTACGGAGTGACCATACACCAGAAGGCGGAGAACGAAAAGTCCCTTTAGACTTGAAGATAAAACAATGATTCTACACAAATAGCCGGGTGGTGCTGCGCACACCTTTAATCCCAGCACTCGGGAGGCAGAAGCAGGTGGACCTCTTGTGAGTTCAAGGCCAGCCTGGACTATAGAGTGAGTTCCAGAATATCCAGGGAGACACAGAGAAACCCTGTCTTGAAAAACCAAAAAAACCAAAGCAAAACAAATAAACATAAGTAAACGTCACCTGGCCTATCTTCGGAAGCGCAGCCAGGGACTGAGCACCAAACCTCATTCTTGTAATCTCAGCACTTGAGAAGCAGGTGCAAGAGGATTATTCCCTAGAAATTTAAGACCAGCGTGGTCTAGTAAATTAGCCTCAGGCCAAGCAGGGACACAAAGTGATACTCTCTCAAAAAGGAAGCCTGGACTGTCTTCTACACAGGGCATGTGAGCTGGGCTTGGTCGTACCTGGGAGGCAAAGGCAGTTGGAGCTCTGAGTTCCAGGCTAGCCTGAACTATGTCCTGTGTTTCAGGCTAGCCTGAGAAAGTGAGATCCTTCTCAATAAAAGAAGCAGCACATGCAGACACACACACATGGCCCAACCCTGCTGCTTTGTGAGTGTGGGAGTCTAGAGGTACAGTGACCTGCTTAAGATCACACTGCAAGCCAGAGTATGGAGATTTCATGTGATGAGAGCTACAGATGTTGTCCAATGAATCCTGGGATTGGGAGGGGTAGGTAGGGAAGAGGCCATGGGTGTTACGGAAGTAGATGTGGACAATGAACTAGATATTTGAACTAGGCAAGCAATATCAAGCAAGGGCAACAAAGGCTGAACTGCTTCCCTGGGCAAGGTGCAAGTCCACAGGTAATTAGGGTGGGGCTCTCAGAAAAGTAGGAAGGCTCCAAGAAAGCCAACTGGGGAAAGAGAGAAAGCGAGAAACAGAAACAGCCAATTTTCGTCCTTCTTATCCAGGCAGACCCTCCAGCACCCTTATCCTTCCTTGTGCCCTTGGTGAAGCCAGGAACAGGGGTGCAAAGACCAGGCTCTACCCTGTGACTCCAAAGCCCCCCCAGATGTTCCTCCCTTAACAATACATGGTGGTTTCAAAGACTTCACATGCTCCCCCCAACACCAAAAGTAGCAACCTGTCCCTCAGAAGGCACTGCAAAACTTCCCATGAGGGGCCTTAGTTTCCTCATCTTGGAAATGGAAGTGATACAGCTCATCTCACAGGGACATTAGAAGGTTGACTTAGAACCATCAAAACCCTAGGCATGCCCAGTACCAGCTTTCTTCCCCGCCTGCCTTCCAGTCTGAGATCTCCAAAGAAAGAATCATGAGTCTATTAAGCAAGAATGGGCTGTGGGCAGAGACTGGGTCATGTCACAGAACTGCAGATGTCAGTAGACAAAGCGCCCATAGAGATCATTTTGCCCAGCACTTCCCCCACACAAGACCATACTGGGACACAGAGCAAAACGGACTTGTCCAAGGCCACCTCACTTGACTGCAACACACCAGGATCCACGAAAAGGCCTGACAGTGTGCTTATGTGCTG